TGAAAAATTCGCCTTGTATGAGTGTTTACGTCATATAGGAATAGGTGAATAACGGAAAAAGGGTCACATTTCCAATCATACCAGGCGAATTAACGATTTACACTGATGGATGTGACATTTTGGTGGTGAACATTCCTAAGATTAAGGTTTGCAACAATTCCCCGTTTAGGAGAACGTGTTTTGTGACGTCATTGACGAAGCAATGTTACGTGTTATTTGAAATCGCGTTTTTCGTTTTTTTTTCATTGAGTTACATTTGCAGTTCACTTTTCAGGATCACTAATGGAAGCAAACAGGTCAAATAAGCAATTTACAAAATATGATTATTTAATTAGGTGTAGTCATACTTTAAGTGGCCTGAGTCACAACGCTCGTCAAACCACGAGCGGAAGGAAAGTTTATTTTTTCACTTCAAAGTTTTAAAATTTTTCACATCATTATTCTCGGGTGATCACGTGAGTTAACAATCATCAGCTTGGTGCTCGACTGACACTCTCAGTCAAATTATATTCTAACGAAACACTTGTATCCCCAGACAATATTGCAAACCAGTGACCAATGTGAACGAATATTTTACCAAAATTTGCCCGACTTTTGCTGAAACAATCCAAGCTGCCATTATTGTGAGCTACTATGTGTTTATCCAAAGAGCAGTGGGCAGCCTTCAGAAATGCAGTCTACTTTATAGCACTTGACACCTCGGGCTAGTAATTGGCAGAAATCAGGACTGGTTCTATGAGAGTAACAAAGGTACTCTGTCCGAAAAACATTAACTGTTCCGAGCACTTCAGAATGACTCCACGTCAAAAGCAAGGAGAGTTCCTTTGCAAACTCTAGACAAAAGGTGCAGAAGAAACTCCGCTTGATACAGGACGCGTGGTACGGCAAGAAGGCCAATGAAATCCAGAGCTACGCAGACATCCATTACAGCAAGCGCTTCATGATGGCTTGAAGACTGTTTAGTAAAGACCACAGCAACTGGCTCCTCCCGCCCTCCTCGGTACAGATGGGACTCAACTGCTGACTGAGAAGAAGATCTTGGAGAAACGGGTTGAATATATTGATCAGGTCCTTAACCGCCCTGCTCAAATCAGTGATGATACCATTGCCCGCCTATCTCAAGTGGAGTTCAATCACCATCTTGAAAAGCTGCCCACCTTGAGAAGTCCAAAAGGCCATCAAAAAACTCTCACCTGGCAAAGTGCCAGGACCAAACGCAATCCCCGCTAAAGTGTTCAAAGCAGGTGTCGCAGCCATGATGCAGAAAGTGAAAGAGGTATTCCAGTCTATTTGGAATGAAGGAAAGGTTCCACAACAGCTCACAGATACCAGCATAGCCCGTATCTACAACTGAAAAAGGCAACTGCCAGTCTTTTGCTGGCAAAATCTTGGCCCTCATTCTGCTGAACCGCGTCATTCAACATTTTGAGCAGGGACTCCTCCCAGAAAACCAGTGTGGTTTCCGCTCAGAATGTGGAACTGCCGACATGATATTCACTGCACGCCCGTTCCAGGAAAAATGCCAAAGGCAGAATAGCCATCATTTTGTGACCTTTGTTGATCTGACCAAAGCCTTCGATACGGTGAGAAGAGACGGCTTGTGGAAAATAATGGAGAATTCTGGCTGTCTCAGCAAGACCATAACGATCGTCCAACAGTTTCACGTTTGCATGATAGTTAAATTTCTGGATGACAGAGACGAGTCAGAAGCCTTTCTAATTACGAAGGGCGCGAACAAGGCTGCTTTCTGGCTCCGACACTCTTTAGAATGTATATTCTCGGCCACACAGATTGATTCCTTCCATGACCGCCAGAACGGAATACCGGTCAGATACAGGACTGAAGGTGGGCTGTTCAACCTCAGACGCCTGATGGATGTCATAAAGGTGAAAGAGACCGTCATCAGAGACTTTTTGTTTGCTGCTGACTACATGAAATGGACTGCTTAACTCAAGGCTTTGACAACATCAGCCTTACCGACAACACCAAAACTGAAGTCATGTATCAGACTGCACCTGGCCAAATGCAATTCGGATCCGATTAAAGTTCGTGTCCGAATAAAAGCAGTCGAGTCCGAGTTCTTATTCGGGTCCGATTGGAAGAAATGGGACCCGGTATCCCAGAAAACGACAAACATCCCGTAACCTTCGGAAGACTCCTTTAGAATGTCTGGGAGCAGAAAGGCACCAGCCTCCCAATTAAGCTGAAGAGTCTACCGTATATTAGTACTGAACACTCTCCTATGCGCCTGCGAGACCATTAGCTGCCTACGCAAACTTCTCCACATCAGTTGGAAGGACAGAAGTCCTGACACGGAGGTCTTAGAAAGGGCCGCAATCCTCAGCGTTCACATCCTCCTACAGAAATCCCAGGTTAGATGGATAGACCATGTCACCAGCATGCCTTGCAGCCGACATGACTACTAAAGCAGCTTCTGTATAGAGAGCGTTTTCAGGGCAGGTGCTTGGTTAGAGGGCAGAGAAAAAGTTTCCAAAACTGCCTTGATCTGGACGTTCGACCTCAGTACTTGGGAGTCACTTGCCCAGCACCGTCCAACTTGGCATAGCAAAGTCACCAAAGGGGCCCGTGCAGGCAAAAAACTGAGCGACCGCAGAAGAAACTCGCCTTGCGCAAAGCTAGAGCAATGTCCACCTCCACTGCGGCACCCACATACTCAAGTCTCATGCAGTGTGGCCGAGCCGTCCTGGGTCATATTGCTATTGCTATTGGCCATCTTTGGACCATCCCCGCTAGTCTAAAGTCTGACGTTATAGCCATCTTCGACTTTCGAAAGACAAACAACAACAACAATCTTAAGGTCAGATCGTTCAAATCCTAAAAGCTTATCAGCCTTGTTCTCATCCGAAGTATTTCAAATCCATTGGAATAGATTATATTTTTGCAAAACCGTTTAGATAAGTCGCCCTAGTGATTTTCTGGTGTATGAAAGATAGTAGCTAAATGTACAACAGGCTCCTGCCTGCACAAGAACATGGAACTACGACCGATTCATATATAAGGAGTATCTGTGATCTACAACATTCAAGAAAATAGTCTATGCTGACAATAAATGAATTCAATACTTTCAACTGATCACCAGTTTGATTTAATTTGCGTTTGTTTTGTTGAACTTCACAAAATATCGAGCTGTTTTCCTAGATCCTAAAACCCAAGATTTTGATACCGTGGATAACGACATTTTACAGATACAGTTACTGTGCTTTAACTGTCTCTATTTAAGAAATCGTAAGCTTTGTTCATTAAAAAATCGTAAGCTTGGTTTACCAAAGCGTCATGTGGCCCGTGAGACGTATTTGTATGACAGTGAAATATGCCCATATTACATCGGTTTCAATTAATTTGCATTGGTTGCCTGTTAAGATAAAAAGCATCTGAATTTTATGATTTTACTGCTTTCTTATAAGGCAGCACATGGCTTAACTAGACCTCCTCCAGGTTCACGACCCAGTGAAGAGTTCGCGATGGGCCTCAAGGAACCTGTTGGTTATTCTACAAAATGAATTGGAGAGCTGTTGACGACGTTCGATCGTAGCGGCCTACGGCCCCCTGTTACTTCCTTTCCCCCCTCCCTCCCCCGCATGCTTTGGAACTCTCTACCTGATCTTTAGCCTGCGACTAGGCTCTCTGGGGCTTTGAGTCGAAGAGAAAAAGGGGAGTTTTTCTAAGCTGTCACTCCCTCGCAGGCTATCGGATCATGACAAGAAAAGTCGATAGTCACTGGTAAAACTCTTGAAAAAGGCTCTTTTTTAAGAAAGCTTTTTATGGTGACTTTCAAATTTTTGCTGATTTTGTGTCTGTATGCTGTTTTATTTTTATTTTTATACTTATTTTCGCTACCACTGAATGATTGCATACCGGTACATACAGAAGCACTTTATTTGAGTGCGAATGTATTTAGCACGAAAGTACTAATCCTGGACTAAATAAGGACACAACTTAGGATATTTTACTTGTACATCCGCGCCACCACGCAAAGGCCTTGCCGTTTGCAGAGCAATTGAACTACCATCATTTCTCAGTTTTTTTAAGACCCTGGGTATTGATACGCCCTGGAAATCGAACCCGCGACCGTCCGATCTCGCTCTGCAGTCATGCGCTCTACTGACTTCATGAGCTACTCGTCATACAATGATCTGATTTAATAGTTCATGACTGAAACCTGAAAATCCTGGCCTCAAAAATCCATTAAATAATACTTAGTCGCATGCATATTCATAAGTATTTGCTTGCTACAGAAGTTTGATAGAAAACATGCGAAAGGCAAGTTGACAGTTTGGACCCCCTGGAACTATCCCTGAGAAGCCTCTTTGAATTTTCTTCCCACCGGTCCTAGATTGGTGGCGTTCGTTTTCGCTTTTTCTCTAGAGGGCGTGTTGACCATGTTGGCCCAGTCAGACTCTGATATATAAATGGCAATTTCGTACTGCAAAACTCGTCAAAAGTGCAAACTATGCTAGCAATGATGTTTTTTCGGAAATTGGTGAAAATTTAAATGCCCCCAAAAAATTTTTCCCAAAAGTTATGCTAGCACAATCTATCAAAGCCTATAGACAATGGAGGCACAGTATGCGCTGATATCTACGCTCTCTTTGTGTGAGGAGAGACCTCAAGAGATGCAATTTAGCTACCTTTACCATGAAACTGAAAATTGTAGGGGAATAAAAGAATATTTTTGAACACCACAAATTAACTTATGTAAATTTACATAACTCGAACTCCTTTTAAATTTTCGTTAAAACAAAGAAAACCACCCCATAACCCGTCCCAGAAAATATAGGTGGAATGGGTACTAGCTTTCGGCGCAACGGTTTCTGGGATCGTTTGGTTGAACAAGCTCCACTTGTGGCACTTTAATGGTTGCCTTGAATACCATCGACCAATCACGACTACCGCTTGTCCATCCAAAGGATCTCCGACAGTTAAATCTATGCGCCATTGAAATGGGGAATTACTCGTTCTTTGATAATGGCATTTATGTGGTGACCGAAAAGTCGGGGGATTGTATCGTTAGTCTTACTTGTTCATTAATTTTCATTGGCTGTTCAACTTGTCCGATAACAACCTCCTTCCAAGCGGACATACAGGTCAAATTGGACAGTTATTCGGGTGTTACAAGAGTCAAATTGACCACTAAAAATAAGGGAAGCTAAGAAGCAATGCGCACAAATCAGTTTGGTGCATTTTTAGGGTGCGTGTGACTTTGTTGACGAACCATTGACCCGATTAGTACCTACTTATCGGCTCCTGAATGTAGTCAAAGGCATTAGCTTTCTGTGAATATAATGTCACCATTGGACTGGTGCAATTAAAGCTAGCCGCCTTATGCAAATTTCGCCGCACATAACCCCCTTGCATATTCGGTCCCTCTTGTCAAGATAATACTCACAGTATCTAGAAAACTCTTGATAACATGGCGCTAGATTTACCAATTTCGCCACTTCCCCAGTGCTACCTGCAATTCTGGACATATTGCAAACTTGTTGACGTCCGCATGAATAAGAGCTGTCACAGGCGTCTATGAGTTCCGATCTACCAGTTGCTATTCGATCGTACACGATTCGCATCTTCAATACAGCGATGAAGTTGGCTTTAGTCTTCGTGTTTGACCTTTCTTTTGGCGTTTTCACACTTTTGGGCGAGAAAATCTCTCAACAGGTAGAAGAAAGCGTTGAAGAGGGATCTGCAATGAAGAATGATAAAGCCACGATAAATTGCTGCCCTTTTGGTTCGCAAAACAGCGTGAAGAGAGAAGCCGGCTCAGGTTGGTTGAATTGTCTTACTGTCAATTCTTGGATTCTTCAGTGTCTTGCGATAATCAGATAGTAAAATGATCACAAAAGTCTCTCGACAGCGCGTGAAGAAACTCTTTTACTCTTTTTGTTCGGCTTAGTCTACTTCAAGCATTTCTTTGATTTATCCCAGCCGGAAAAGAAGAGTGAGAAAAACACGGGGCGGAAGGAATAGTCTTTAAAAGGGAGGTTCTGAGCCTGGTGGATCAGGGTAGATCTTGTGGATCCACCGTTTCGGTGATGTCATAGATAAAAATAGGTTAAAAGAATAGCCTGTATTTCCGTGCCCGGGCTTACCCAAACCGTTAGTAATCCGTCAATTTCCCGAAATTATTTATTTTAATTTGTTGGGTAATGTATAGACAGATTGATTAACGCAGAATAGAGTTTGATTCTACAGGTTAATTAATGGTAATGTGTATCATGAAGTGGTATTCTCTGCTAATTACCTATCATCGTAAAGCTATCCTTAAACGCAAACTGCTTTCTATTGCTTTAAGCCCACGTTACACACTGGTCAGCGGTCATTGTTTTTTATGAGCCTGCAGTCAGCGGTTTGGTTGCGTGAGATCGCTCTTGGAAGTGGAGT